GTGTGTGTGTGTGTGTGTGTGTGTGTGTGTGTGTGTGTGTGTGTGTAGGTCCAGGTGCTGTCCGGCCCCAGCTGCTCCAACCTGATCGGTGTTCTGGTGACGAACCTGCTGAGTGAACAGAGCAGCCTGCAGCCTGAACTAGCGGCTCACCGCCTGGAGCTCAGCAAGACCAGCGGCCTGCTGAACGGCGTACGACCACGAACACACGCTCAGACCACACAGCACTTCCTGTCTTCTGTTTCAGACTGAAAACGTTCTCTCTCTCTCTGTGTGTCAGGACCTGAGGGCCTTGTTGCTGCTGCTGTCCGTCCAGCCGCCTCAGACCGTGGACCCGGCCCTCTGCCCCGCCCTCCAGGAGCTGCTGGGTCGCTGCCGCGTTTGTGTCCAGCAGCGCAGCGCTCTGGAGCTCGAGGCCAAGGACCACAAGGCCAAAGGTACAACACTAACATGCAAAGTATAGAAACGGAGACGCTTTCAGTTTTGTTGGTACTCGCACTTGGCGCCGTAGCGCGAGCCCTGAGCATGAACGGAGGCGTTTAAACTCTCTGCGTACAAACAAAATGAACTGTGAGGAGTCCAAAAGACAATGAGTGTAACTCATAGATATGCCCGTAGACCACAACCTCCATTTGTAATTATCTGTATATCTCATATTCATGGATGTACAAATCATACCAGATGTTCACAACATTTGTCGTGTCTCTCTCAGCTGAGGATGAAGGGGCGACCCCGGTGAAGCGGCGGAGGGTGAGCAGCGATGACGACCGAGCCGGCGATGCAGCGTCGGCGCCGCTCTGCGTGGCCTCCACCTCTTCCTCGTCCTCCTCGACGTCCTCGGCCCTCCCGCCCTGCGGCGAGCCGAAGCCCGACCACCAGGAGGCGCTGACGCCCGCCAGCACCTCGGACACGGAGACGCGAGACTCCTCCTCGCTGATCGACCCGGGCACCGAGCAGGACCCGCCCTCCCCGGACCCCGCCCCCGCCTCCTCTGGAAACCTGGACTCCTTCCCCAAAGAGGAGAAAATGGAGGCGTCTTCATCGTCGTCCTCCTCGTTCTCCTCCTCCTCCTCCCTGCTGCAGGAGGCGGGGGAGGGCTTTGGGCAGGGGGAGGAGCCTGAGCCGCCGCATCACTCAACGGCAGGTGAGGAGGAGGAGGAGGCGGAGCAGCGGGAGGGGAGGAGGGGTGAGGCGATGATGTCGGAGGAGGTGAAGGACGAGAAGGAGGCGGGCTCTAAGACCAGCAGCAGCTCGGCCCCGCCCCTCTCAGAGGACGCTGCCTTCCCATCAGCCGTTGGGCTGGTGGGGGAGGGGCCAGAGGGCTGCAGTGGCCACGCCTCCTCCTCCTCCTCACAGGCGATTCCGAGCGCCGTCCCCCCACCCGACATGCTGGACATGCTGTACAGGACGGTGGAAGCCACCATCGCCATAGTTACCAAACTGTCCGTTAAGGGCCCGCCCTCTTCATGACATCATCAACTCACAGCCGCTATGAGATCTTTAACTAAAACTTTTTTTTTTTTTTTTTTTCCCCTCTTTGGAAATTGAAATCCCGCTCGGAGGAAAAAAAACACCTTTTTCCTGTTTCTCGGTTTCTTCTTCTTCTGCTGTTTGTGTGCTGCTGTCCTCCTGCTGATGTTCAGTCGGTTGGTTTTTCAGCTTCAGTGGCGCTCGCCGTGTCGTTTCGCTCTATTTAGCTCCGACTCCACCACAGAAGAAAAACACAGAAAGTCGTACAAAGCTACAGCACATTGTTTTCAAAAGGGCAAAAAAAGAAGTTGTTTTTTTTTGTTTTCTTTGTGTTTTATACTGATTTGAATTTGTTTTAGAAAGTGATTTTATTTGTTTGAGGTTTGCTGTAACGGGGAAAGGTTTACACAACTTTCGTCTCCTGTATGTAATTTAATTTTATTGCATTTTTACTGTGTATAAAAATGGTCGTCCTCTGTGCCAGTTTTGTACTTTATGAACGAGGCAAAAAGAAAGTTGCCTTGACTTCTGTGGTTTAAATATCCAGAAACTGAGTTTACCTGTAAATTAAGAGAACCACAAGAAACTTGATTCTGTAAAGAATCCTCTCTAGTCATTGCCTGAAGGTGTATATGAAAACTATATAAATATATATATAAATATCTTTATATATATATGAATATATAAAAGCGGTGCTTTATTTGACTGGTTGTAATAAAGCCCCCCATGTTGGACCAGCTGGAGCTTTTTATTTTCTTTACTGAAGTACATTCCATAATCTATTGTTTACTTTCGCTTCTTCTGCTGTGTTCTGATTTTATTTTAATAGAGAATAAATTAATAAAAACAGTTTTAATATGAAGAGTTATGAACTGAAGTCCATGTGGAGCTGTGAAGTTCTTTCCTCAGAAATAGAAGTTTGTTTTCAGGCTGCGGACGGAGACGTACGGGAAGCTCACTGGATCACAAAGCCTGCTTCATGTCAACGTAAGTAAAGAATTCATTTTATTTTTTACATCACACGGGGGAGGAACAGACTGTAGGAGTTTACTGCAGCAGCGCAGTGCTTTGATGGCTTTTAACAGTCAAAACTGTAGAAATCCTCGTCCGTCTCAGCTCGTCAGTTTACAACTTTGTTATTTTAATGTTTCGTGAGCAAAGAAATAAAACTGTCTGACATCAACACAAAGAAATCAACAAAGTACAATTACTGCCCCACGCTTGACCGCCTCCGCCAACCAGCAGTTTAATTTAATGTCTGAACAAAGTGTCGTCATTTCATCCTTTTATCTAATTAGACATTTATGAGAAATTGTCATCATTATCACATAATTTCTTGAGTTATGGCCGAGAATGGACGGACAACTCGAAAACAAAAAATAAGTGCCGGGTGTCGTTCAAAAAACAAACTATAACAAATACAGTTAAAGTGATTCCCATAGAAAGTTTTCTACTGCTTTCGATACGCGTCACGTGGAATGACACCACCAGCGTCAACACCCGTAACGATATCGTTTAACTGGAAGAGGTCCGTCGATGCCTGGAAGGCATCGCGGACTGATATCAGCCCTAATAAAGTGACATCACCTGAGGCTCGTCACATGAGGAATGAAAGCAGCTGTGAGGAGATGAAGGGAAATAAGACGATGTAACGAGTTTCTTTTCTAATCCACGTCTCACGGCCCTTTGACTTCAGGAGGAACGTTCACAAACATTCAGATGATTTGTTCTTTTATTACAATTATTTTCATTTTTTGCTTAGTTTTTATTTTATATTTTACAAATGTAAGAATATTTCCAGACTGATACAATTCAAATGTTGATCTACACACATTATTAAATGCACCAGCATATTATTATTTACAATTTTGATAAAGTGCATCAATGAAAAATAAGAATAAAGCTTTTGGCAAAAAAACAAAAGTGACATTTGAACATTTGATTTATAAACGTGTTTGTTCCAAAACATTTTGCCCAGAAACAAATCTCTCTTCAAACTGAAGTGCAGCCGCAGCATTTCTATAAAGCGCCATTCTGATAATTCTGTCTGAACATGAGCAGAAATAATTTGCAGTGTTTCCGCTTCACAGAGAATTTATTACAAACAAACACTCTGAACGCGACAGCTGCTGAGTTTAGTTCTTAACGGTTTCAACGTCACTTCAGGATTAAAATCAGCTGCTGGGATGTTTGTGGTCATGCGGAGGCTGAAGAGTGCCACTGGAATCATTTGGTGTAGATGTTTACATCGGGCAGTAACCTCCCGGTCTGACAAGTGAAGCCAAACCTTCAGGTGTTAAAGCTGCATTCTCTCTACTGACCAGCAGGGGGCGACTCCTCTGGTTGTATAGAAGTCTATGAGAAAATGACTACTTCTCTCTTGATTTATTACCTCAATAAACATTGTAAACATGAGTTTATGGTCTCAGTTTCTAGTTTCAAGTCTTCAATACAGCACGATATTCATTTAGAGTCACAGACCATAAAGCAGGGGATGATTTAGGGCGGGGCGTACTGTGATTGACAGGTCGCTACCATGGCGTTGTCCGGTCTGGGAGTTTTGAAATCTATTTACTAGCTTTTTGTCAGATTTTCAACAGCAGTCATTACTCAAAGCAACTACGGGAGTTTTAAAAAGTCTGTTCGGGACTTAAATCTGTTTGTGTGGACGAGAGGCCGAAACACAAAGGAAATAAAATCCATATATGTGCAGACGAGGCCTAAGAAATCAAGCAGCAGCAGGAAGTTTGTTCTTACTCTGTTAGATCATTTCAAAGTAAATAAAAGAAATCGATTCACAAATAGATGTTTAGAATGTTTTTAAAACACTTCAGCAGCCACATGAAGGAATAAATAAAATCATACTAAAGAATAAGAGCTCACGTGTGCTCGACTTCGTTAGAAGTCGTGAAAGAAACGCGTTTAAACGGACTATAATTAAACTAATTATTTTAGTGGCACTCTGCAGACTCCGTACAGTCGGACTGAAAGCTGTCGTGTTCAGATCAGAGAGAACTGCTGCTGTCATCACGGTCCTCCGTCTGGCTGTCCCGTTTGAACTTCACAATGTTTCCGTCTGTCTTTACTGTCCCACCGTCGTCCGTCTGTCTATCCGTCCTCTGCCGATCGTCCTCCGCTGCTTTCTCTTGTGACCTCGTCTGTCCCTGGAACACAGACAGGATGTAAGTTTACTAAACATGTCACGGTGCTTTGTTCTGTACTTGAGTATTTCCTTTTTATTCATCTCCTTCCTGTCCAGTTTAAACCTCGCATCTCCAGATGTGTTGATGTTGAATGTTTGTGATGAACTGAAGGATGAAATGTTCCTTTATGTGATGATAAAATCCTCCTACTTCTTCAGATTAATAAACTCTTTAAAAAGACTCTTGGATCAGCTGGAAGATGCTTCAGAACAAACCTGGAAACAGGTTGTTTGTTCTTTAGATACGAGGTTCTCACAGGACAGAGACGCTACAAACACATGATGATCTTATAGAATAAGATGCATTGATGAAGATTCAACTAAACAAGATGTAAAGGAGTTAAAATAAAATACCCGTCCAAAGGTTTCATGAATGTCCAAAGACTGGTTCCTGGAACAAAATGGATGGATATCCATTAAACCAGTTTTCAAACAGAGCTGTGAAGACATTTGAACATGAAGAGTTTGTTCAGAGGACTCACCTGTAACCTTCAGCAGATCGGTCAATGTCAAAACTCTCTTTGTCAGAATCCTGATGCTTCTGCGTCCTCTTGAACCTGTGAGAGCGAACGTGACATGTTGAGGTCTGACGGGACTATTTTAAACTTCCTTCTGGGAGGATTCACGTATTGAGATGCTGATAATTAAGGAATATTTCAAACATGTCTGTTTACTTTGTGCAGGTTCTCCTGTCTGTCTCTATAAACTCATCTACTGTAGTGAAGAACCTCATACAAACACACTCCATAACATCTGGACTATCCCTTTAAGTTCACATGATGAACCTGTTAACAGAAGCACATGAGTGTTGATGGTCTCCAGTCTCACCTGATGATCAAGGCAATGGCAACAATCAATCCCTGCATGCACAGGGCCACCATGGTGCCCAGAGCAATGACCGCAGCCTGGCTGGAGGCGGGACTTTGAGGCTTCAGCTCCACGTCGAAGTGAAGCCCCTCCCCGAACACTTTGACCAGCGCCGCCCTCACAGAAGCTGATTGACTCTGCAGCTTCCTGGTGGAGAAAATGTTGCGTTCAATGATTTAGTTTATTGATGTTTATTGGACGATGCGTGCATAAATTAGGCTTTTCGGTTCCTCAGAGAAGCCGTAGGACAGATTAAATAAAACCCGACTGGTGGAAGAAGTGTTCAGAATCTTTACTTCAGTAAAGGTACTAATACCACACGGGGGAAATACTCTCTATGGTGAAAGTCCTGCAATGAAAATGTTACTTAATTAAAAGTATAGTCGGAGAAAATGTCACTGCTATTAATATATATACTGTTATATATTATTATCATGAGGTTGTTATTACTCGTGCATTAATGTAAAAGCAGGATTTTACTGCTGTAGTCGGTTCTGGTCCAATAAACATTATTACTGATTCATTACAATTATTAGAAGGAAATCAGCAAATATTCACATTTGAGAAACTGGAACCATTAAAAATACACGATTATCAAAATAGTCCCAATTAATTATTCAAGATGTACTTGAAAGAACTGTTTAGTTTAATTAACGACAAAACATATCTTAAATATTTTAAAAACTACAATATTTCCCTCTGAGATGTAGTGAAGTACAAGTATGGTGGCATAAACTGAAAGTACTTCAGTAAAGTACAAGTAACTAAAATGTGTACTTAAGTACAGTACATGAGTAAACGTAACTAAGTTACATTCAACCAAAGTAAACTAATATATATTAATCCGTTCAGGCTGCTTCGTCATAACTTGTCTGTAAAAATCAGCATATTGTAGTTAATCTATTTTGTTGTTGATAGCGGGCATCAATCAGATATGTACACATGTACACTGCATATACAGATCTTCAGATGATGCTCTCTTTAGTTCTACACATAAAGAACAAGGAGTGAAAGAACAAAAAGAAAACTATGTATAACTAGGGAGTGATCTATTCTTTTTGACTGTTTTCGGTAAATATCCAAGATACATGGTCTTACTTTCTAGAGGTATTTCATCTTCTAAAATGTGTTGCAGGGTATTGCGTGTCCCTCTCCAGTAGTTCACGTTTTAACATTGAAAATCAGACTCTTACTCTGTGACCTCTGTGGAGGAAACGACCTCTGCTCTGTTCTTGGTGATGAAGCTGACCAGAGTCTTCACGGCGGCGCTCTGCGCTCTGGACTCGGAGGAGGATCCGCCGTTAGCGCTCGACACCTCGATGATGTTCACCGTCCAGCCCAGAGCCGCACCCAGAGACCTGAGAGGACGAGGAAGAAGGAAGAAACCAGAACCATGTAACCCTGAAAGAATGAATCTCTAAACAATGGTAATTCTGTGATAAACTCGTCTCACTTCTCCAACTCTGGGACTTTCTTCTCCACGATGTTGGCCGGCTGGTTGAGGGAGATGACCACCACGTCAGCGCTGCTCGCGCTTCCCTGCACTTCCACCTGCGGGGAGGAAGAGTGTTTCTGAGGTATGCATCTTTAAATTAAAACAATTGAATTACCTGAGGACACCAACAGAGTATACAGGAAGCAGTAAAGCTTATTGGAATAAATAAACAGTCGAGTACGGACATTAAAATCAGTCATTTACACATTTTTTACAGCTTTTCTTATATTCTTAATGTGCTGCCTGTTTTGACTCGTCTTGATTTTGGATTCTACTGGTTGTTGATTTGCATTTCCCCTCCTCTCTAACATGTTGAGCCCCTCCCTCCGGCCCTCCACACTCACCTCCAGCTTGGTTGTAGCATAAAGTCCTCGGGGGTCTTTGGCGTTCACCTCCACTGCAGCCGTCTGTCCAGCCAGTCCCACCGCCGACACCACGTACACCACACCCGAGGACGGGTCCACGTCAAAGTGAGGACTGTCTGCAGTCAGACTGTAGACCAGCTGACCCTCTTCACCCACATCAGGGTCTGAAGCCTGGGGGGGGGAGGGGAGTATCAAGATGTTTTATCCTAACAGACGGTACTTTCATGTCCTGCTGTGGTTAGCATCAAGCACACAGTTTAAAGCTAAACTATGGCTTTTTAATGACGTCCTATATTATATCATTTTTATGACATTCTATACTAAGAAGTATAACATACTTTATTATGACTTTACTACAATATACTCTGACTTTTTTTACAAAACATTTCTATAACTCTAGAAGATTTCTTCCAGCTCTTTTAAGTGCAATAGCTCTCCATGTTTGACTCGGTAGATTCAGATAACATCGTCTCTGATCGAAGAGATCCGTTCCTGATGATCTGTCTCACTGCTGCTCAGGAACCACATCCCTCAAAGAGTGAGCAGCCTGCTGGGTTTCACTTCACAGTACACAGCTCCTGTTAGTCCCCGCCACAGTCGAGCAGCCGTCGCACTGAACGGTCCTTATCTGACACACTGACGTTGTTATAACAGTTGGTGCTTCTTGAGGATGTAACTGACAGAAGCTGGGTGTGTTTACCTTGACGTGGACGACGGGGGTTTTGTACGGGGCTATGCTGAACACAGAGGCTTTATACACCTCGGAGAGAAACCGAGGAGACTCGTTCACGTCCTCCACCTGAACTCTGACCTGAGAGAGAGAGAGAAGGAACAGGTCAAGATACTGAAGACAGACTTTTTCTCCCAGGTTTCCTTGGGTCAAGATGAATGTACCAGTATAGAGAGCGGAAGTAAAGAACCTCCAGGTATTTAAAAAAAAAAGAAAATCTCATTCAAAGTCACACTATTTGTATAATAATCCCTGCAGAAGTTTGACATGTTTCCAGTTTTCAGTAATCAATATCACCTGAAATAATCAGCCTCTAAACATGTCTATATAGATATCATTTAAAAAAACAGATCATACCATTGTAATGGCTGACGTAGGGGGGGTCCGTGTGTCCACTGCCTCCACATCCAGGATGTACCACTCCTGCTCCTCTTTGTCCAGCTGTGTTCTGGTCAGGACGGCTCCACTGGCACTGACGGAGAACAGGTCAGTATGTGTGTTCAGTGCGTAGGCGACGTCGTAGAGGTCACTTCCTGAGAAGGCCGAGACCCTCCCCACATCCGCCCCCGGCTGCTGGTTCTCACGTACGCTGAAGTTGTAGGAGGAGCTCCCGAAGGCCACGCCCTCCCCCAGACTGACAAGCCTGAGATTCACCACGACGTGAGCTGTAAGAAACACATACATTATATACAGGTATGACCAGCAACCCCAATCAGGGTCCTGTGAGGAGCTCCTGACAGCTAGGGGCGGGGCTTAGTTCAGTGTTAGTTCTGAACATCTAACGTTGAGTAAATCTACACGGTGCTGTCAGATACCTGTGGAGTTCAGAGGAGGCTGGCCGTGGTCTTGAGCCCGGGCTGTCAGCACCATTGTGGTGTCCTGTGTGAGATCGGTGAGGTCCGAGGTCAACGTCAGGGCCCCGGTCTCACTGTTTAAGGCCAAATACCGAGGACTTCCTGCAGAGTAACTGCAACAGCAGAGAGCAAAAAAAAAACATCTTCAGCACAATACAAGATGAATGAGTCCGAGGAGTCGTGTGCAGTCAGTGGCACACGAGCCCACCGTACGGAAACAAGTACCAGAAAGTTGAGATAAGAATACCAAAATGTTGTTGCATGAGGTCCACCGTCTTCCAATACCTGGATAAAGAGTCAGTTTGTGGCAACTAACTAACTAACTAACTAACCAGTGCATTCATCATTAGAGACCCGAGTTTAAAAAGGACTCGTGTAATGTTATAAAACACTTGAACATGTACCTTCTGTCTGGAGAATACTGTGGTGGTGTGAATGAAATGACAGTCGGTTGCTGACCTGTAGGTGATGAGCGAGTTGTTGCCGGCGTCGCCGTCGGTGGCGGACAGCGTCAGCAGCAGCTTCCCTTCCTTGGCGTCTTTCAGAAGGATGCTGCTGACGTAGCTGCTGGAGCTGAACTCAGGTCTGTTGTCATTGACGTCGATGAGGCTCACCCTGATGCTGGTGATGTTCTGGTGCACAGGAGTCAGTTTGACAAAGAACTTGTTCAGTGAAGGAGGCTTGCATTGTATCATTAGTCGTATTTTATTATCGATATATATGTTTTAAATTATTTCAATTTATATACATTTATCCTCTTCTTTGGTTCCTTTATGATGTTGGTTAACCTTTATATTGCCTGATTAAATTATATATTATATTATTTATATGAACATAAACTCAACATTAAACGGGTTCTTCTCTGCTTTTTAATCTTTTCTGTAATTTCGTGTTTTTTTTCAGGTTTGTGCACAAAACAATCAAAGCGAAACTACAAAATATTTTGCTGATTTTCAGTATGTGTATTTGGATTAAAATGTGTCTAAATTCAAGTTAATAACATTTTAATGGCAAATCTACTGAATTTTGGGGTCTTTCAGTGTATTTCCTTCACAAACTGGCTATTTAATTGCAGCACAATATATGAGATAAGTGATTTTTACATTGCAGATCTTATACACAACACTTGCTTGTAACCTTCCTACAACAGGAATAGAAGCGATATCAACAGGAGTGAGTCACAGGGTCTCTGCAGGGGTCTCTTACCTCCCGCTGCGGGCTGCCTTTGTCTGAGGCCTTCACAAACAGCTCATACGTTTCTCTGCTCTCCCGATCCAGAGAGCCGACAGCCAGCAACGTCCCGTCCTGCAACACAACACATGATCTCAGAGCCCCAGCAAATACTTTCACATTTCATACTTCCACAATCCTGTCACGCAGCCTCACCTCTCTGAATCTGAAGAGCGGGTGAGGGGGGAGGAGGGAGAGGGTGACCTCCCCGTTGGGGCCGAGGTCGGCGTCCGTGGGCACGATGGTGAAGATGTCTCCCGGAGTGACCTCCGAGTAGTCGCCCTCGGGGATCTGGAGCGTGTCGGGGATAGTCGGGAACTGCGGAGTGTTGTCGTTGTAGTCCAGGACGGTGATGTTGAGCTGGGCTGTGGAGCTCAGACCGTCAGTGACTTGATCCACCGCCACCACCTGAAGACAGACGCAGAGAACAGCGTGAACTCTCTGCCGTGATCTCTGTTCGGAGTTATTTTTCTTTCATAAAACAACACGGTCTTTAGCTCAAAAAAACCCTCAACATGCAAAGACAAAATACGACTCTCAAACGTGTTTTGTATTTTATCGATAAAAAAGAAAAGTTGCCAAGTGATGGGAGGAGGACCTTCATAATGTCTATAATGTAGAGTATGTGCAGGACTGGATTTGCGCCTCTCATTCTCTCCTTTGTAAGATATACTGGAAGAGACACAATATAAGACACTGCATAGACAACGCTGAACACCTCATGTTCTGACCAACACTTTGTGTTGGTCATAAGAGTTCAGCACCATTTTAAAGGCTAGTAGTTGAAAAGATCCAGGCCAGTCTGTATTCGGCTACCTCCTGGAGAAGGAACCTCGGCCACGTGTGTTTATTTTCAGTGAACAAAATGCAAATTATATTACTGGAGGAAAAAAATAACTGAGGAAAATCTGCAATCACAGTTTTCTTTCACAAATATTTCTAAATAAAAAAACAAACGGAGACCAGACATGTAGGATACATTGAGATTTAGATTCAGAGACTGTAATTTAAATTACACACACACGTATGTATATAATGTGTGTGTTCACAAGCAGTTTTGGACATATATGTTTCTGCTAAATGTAAATGTTGTGGGGACTTTTTTAAGTTTTCCTCACTGCAAATTTTGAGATTCATCATCTTTCACTTGAAATATTTTACAAATTGTTGTTAAATTTATAATAAATGTTGAATACATGTATACGTATCAGATAATGTTGTATTTTGTCTGGTACGCTTGAAGATGTAAACTGCTGCGTGTTTCTTTCACTAAAACAGACAAAAACCAGGAGATAGAAAACGTAATCATGAAACGTTTGTACCTGCAGTACGTAGCTGTCCTGTGTCTCTCTGTCCAAGGTGACGTTGTTCCTCACCGAGACCAAACCTTGGTCGCTAATGTCAAAGGTGTCACTGGTATAGAGGAAGTAACCGCCGGAGAATCCACCCTGAAAAGTGTGTTAAATAGCTCTGATGACTTCACGGTCAGATTTAAATCATCACTTATCTGACGTAACATACAGTATGAACTTAGAGCTCCTCTCATCTGAGCTCCATTACAAATCTACCAGGTTTTTAAATCCATTAGATAAATAAACTGCTACTGCAAATACAGATACTACTGGATCTGTTTACCATACGTAATCACCATGCGATTGCGTATTCAGCACTTTTCATTTTTGACGAATAACTCCTTAATCACAAGGAAAATGATGAACATATTTTGTTCTTTCCTTGTTTTTTTGGTTTAAGATCTAATCTATTCAATTTTCAAATCACAAAAAGTTGCCTCAGAGGCCTGATAATCGGTACAGCATTCGACATCCTCCGTCCCAGG